TACAGGCATGCGCCACCATGCCCGGTTAATATTTTTCATATATTTTTAGTTGTCCAGCCAATTTCTTTCTATTTTTAGTAGAGATGGGGGTCTCACTCTTGCTGAGGCTGGTCTTGAACTCCTGACCTTGAGTGATCCTCCTGCCTTGGCCTCCCAGAGTGCTGGGATCACAGGCGTGAGCCACCACGCCTGGCCAAGGGTCTCGTCCATTCTCGAGCTGGTGAGATTTTCCCAAGGCAGACGGCAGGGCTCAGAGGTGCCATAGCCCCACAAAGCCGCCCGGATCACTCTGCACCGCGGCTGGGTGGTTCTCAGGGTGCAGCCCCCCTCGGCACTCCCCGCCAGGCTCCCAGTGGCCGATGTGGGACTGCGACGCTCTTGGCGCCGCTGGACGGGGCTGTTGCACAGAGTAACCTTTTCTTGTTGGCTGATTGGTCTTGTTTTTGCATTCACAGTATTTAAAATAAAAATGTTACTTGTATCTAGTACAAATCCAGGCACCTCAGAAGGTAGAGAATGAAAAACGACACCTCCTTCCTTTGCACCTGCGAGGCCCCAGGCTCACCCACCCCGAGTCCTTCCTGACCCTGCTGCTCAGGGCTCAGGCCTCCCTCCCTGCCCTGTGCGCTGGCTCCCACGGAGGCCTGTGAGTCCTGCCAGGCCCTCTCTGGGCTGGGGCCCCACGGCCGAAGCCCACGTCCAGAGCTCACGCCGCCACCCCAGGCCGCCCAACCTGCAGGTTCCTCTGCGCTTGTCCAGGGTGACGGCGACTTGGTGAGTCGCTCTGGTTGCGTCCTGGCGACGTTTTGGCTCCGGCCACGTAGCAGTGAAATGGAGGCTCCGTGCCCTAAATTCTACCCGCGGGACCACTTCCCTCGTGGATGTATTTAATCTGTATCTCTGACTAGCGAGAGCAGGGACGTGCGTTCTTCATAAATGCAGTTTGGGGACCTCTCCAAGGGACCTTGGGCTCAGATACCCCACGGAGGAAGCATCTCGTGCATCCGTGTGTTTCTGCGGCTCCCCTCCCATCTTCCTCCGCCTCCCCACACCCTCCAGGACCTGCTGCTGCCCCTGCCGCTCAGGCCTGCGGCCCCCACCCCCTGCTAGGGACGGGGCACAGAGCTCCGCTGTCCACCCCCCGTCCGTGGAAAACTGTCTTCCATGAAACTTAGCAGGGGGGGCCGCACAGCAGGACGTGAGCAGCAGGCGCGAGGGAAGCTTCCTCTGCGTTTACAGCTGCTCCTATCGCTGGCGTCACCGCCTGAGTCCCGACTGCCTCCCACCCCCGTCTGTGCAAACATTGTCTTCCATGAGACCTGTCCCCGGTGCCAAAAAGGTCAGGGACCACTGACTTAGGCAACGGGTCAACAATTAAGCTTTTATTTTGATATTATTTTGTTTTAAATTTTGCAGAAATCAAGATACCATTTAGTGGCCAATAAGGAATGTTGTTTAGGTCGGGCGCGGCGGCTCACGCCTGTAGCCCTAGCACTCTGGGAGGCTGAGGTGGGAGGATCATTCGAGCTCAGGAGTTCGAGAACAGCCTGAGCAAAAATGAGACCCCGTCTCTACGAAAAATAGAAAAATTAGCTGGGTGTGGTGGTGCCTGTGGTCCCAGCTACTCAGGAGGCTGAGGCAGGAGGATCGCTTGAGCCCAGGAGTTGGAGGCTGCAGTGAGCTGTGATGACTCCACTGCACTCCAGCCCAGGGGACAAAGTGAGACCTTCTTTGAAAAAAAAAAAAAAAAAAAGGAATGTTTTTGATTTTTTTAAAATTATAGAGCAATGCCTGGATAATTAAAAACTCTTATTTCCAGGTGACACAAAATTGGAAGGACTTTATTATGCAATCAAGCAGAGATTGGAATATAGTTTAAAATGAAACTGTAGAACTAAAAACTGAATAGAGGAAACAAGCCAGAGAAGTTAGTTTGAAGGCGAAATGTTCCAACGAGGTATATAAAAATAAGTGCTTACGTTTTACATTAAAATCCCTTGATCCACACCACTGCAAAGAGCCCGGCACGTGGACACATGGTGACCCTGCCTGACCTCCCAAGCTTGTCTCCGCGTTGGTGGGGACCATGCATGGCCGCCGCCCCGCACAGTCTGGGCAAGGCAGTGTGACGCGGAGCCGCCTTGCGCTGCTTACAGAGCCAATTATTAACGTTTTAGGAATTTTGAGATTTGGTTGATTGAAATCAGCCACAATGGGAATATTTACACCAAAGAAATTGGTGAATACGACAAATCAGGATTTTCTTCCCCTGGGGAGCTGGATGTTCACCCCGTCCCAGCACACCACTGCCCGGACTCCTCCTTGCCACATGTGTGGCTGGTGTACCACGGGTGCTGCCAGGGTCTGCTCATTTCTCTAAACCCACGGGTGGCTGGATTGAGGAGTGGAGGGACAGATGGAAGGATGGTGGGTGGTGGATGGAGGTTGGATGAGGGACAGATGGACAGGTAGGA